TGTGTCTCTGTCGCAGCCGTTTTATATGTGTTTACTTGCATGCGTTCTGGCGTTCATGTCTTGCTTAATTCCTGGTTCTGACGCTTGCGTTTCGAAATAAGGGTCCACCATGTCGGAGTTGTGCCGTGTTGTTCAGTGATGTATGGACTCATGTACGGGAGGGAACCCAGATGTTGAGTAGTAAATACTTGTGTTGCCACATTACATTTACACATAGAGAGTGTTTGGTAGGTCGTCATGCAAGGATGGATGAGTTCCTTCCCCCACGCGGCAAGGACCATAAGACACCTGAAACGGATCGAAACAGGGGTCGGACTGTAGTTAGCGACCGAGAATATATAGGCAGGCTAACACAGGAGGTGCATAAGCAGAAAGTACTGCTTAGAGAGATGTCAGACGAACTACGCCGCCTCAAGTCGCTCCTCGACGAAATGACAGAAACTGCGGAGCACAGGATGTTCACCGTGTTCTGATTGTTGCTTGACAACATGAAAGATATAGACGTTACTCGTCTGAGGGGGGACATGTCAGCCAGACTTCAGGCAATTGTTGAAACGAAGAACACCACGTTCGACGAGTTTCAGGCATGGCTGGATATTGAAAGAGAAAGGTGCACCGCAGTCTTGAAGCGGTTCTCCGCCCACGTCACGAAGACAACAAACGGAGAGTCAGACGGAGGGGATGTCATGTGTCTTGCCTGCTGCGGAAAGTGTGTGCTGAAGGAGGGGTGGGCATCGTACAATAGCCAAGATTACAACATAGGTTCGCTACCTACGACGGCACGCAGCGTCGTTGACCTCTTAGCCTTCGCCGAGGACTGCATTCGCCACTGTACGGAAATCGTCGAGGAGTACGGTCTGAGTGAAGTGGGTGTCGGGTCTGTTAATGACGAGCTTCCTGCAAAAATCGCGTCTCTGCTGAGCAGTTGCGAAGACGTAATGGATTCCGTGCAACACACTCGAGGCAGGTTGTTGGCTGGAGAACTGACGGTGACATGTATGGAAGGAGATGTTGTGGGATGTGGAGAAGGTGAAACGAAGAAGGGAAGAGAAGAAGCTGACATACCAATCGGAGCGTGTTCGAAAAATGGGGCCACTCTTGGGAAGGATTCGCCTGCGCCACACGTCCTGTTGGCGTGCACTGATGTTGCCGCACTGAAATCTCACCACGTGCGTCACAACTTCCCCTACGTGCTTGCCAGCAAAGCACCTTCGGCCGGACCAGAATCTTCTGTACTGCCTATGACGACGCAAATTTTTGAAAATTTCGTTGTTGACGCAAACTCTCGACAAATGACCAGGCTGGTCGCGGACTGTTTTTCCCATATAATTTCATATATCAAAGAGATAATGGGACCGGTGTTACTGAACGCGGACCATCATGGAGCGGAAAAAAAATGTGAATATTGCAGGAAAGGACTTGACATCCATGAACGCTTGAAAACTCTGTACAGAAGATGTCAAATTGTGGCAGCGCGGGTCGTCAGGGAAGCATGATCTCTCTCTCTCTCTCTATCTATCTATCTATCTATCTGTGTGTACCTATGTCTGGTTTTCACATACTTGAGGTTGGCTAGTGGGCCGCAACACTGAATGACCCTCTGTCGACACATGTCTACCTGTCCGACAGCAAGAAGTTGTCCCCCTTGCAGGCCAATTCTGGTCTCGCATGTCACGTTCGGCGTCGTGTTACATCGCTGACTGGTGAACGTGTCGATTGTGCGAGTGTTGTTTTCCAAGCTGCGAGAGGTTGACTACTGCGTGCCATGACTGTGTGTACCATTGGTGGTTGTTGTCCCATTGGCCCGCAGTAGCCAACCTGTCTGTCTGTCCAGTGTATGTATGCCTGTCTGCGCGAGGCTGACTACTGCAGGCCATGTAAGTGTACACCGCTGCTGGTTGTTGTCGTTCTGGCCCGCAGTAGTCAACCTGTCGCTGGTGCCATATGTTTTTCTTTTTTTCAGCTGGGTGAGGTTGATTGCTGCGTACCATGTCAGTGTGTACCGATGCTGGTTGTTGTCCCGATGGCCTGCAGTAGCCAACCGCCCTCTAACGCAGTGTATCTCTTCCTGTATGGGCGAGGTTGACTACTGCGGGCCATGTAAGTGTACACCGCTGCTGGTTGTTCTCGTTCTGGCCCGCAGTAGTCAACCTNTACTGCGGGCCATGTAAGTGTACACCGCTGCTGGTTGTTCTCGTTCTGGCCCGCAGTAGTCAACCTGTCGCTGGTGCCACATTTTTTTCTGTTTTTCCAGCTGGGTGAGGTTGACTATTGCGTGCCATGTTAGTGTGTACCGATGCTGGTTGTTGTCCCGATGGCCCGCAGTAGCCAACTGCATCCGGAACGCAGTGTATGTCTGCCTGTATGGGCGAGGTTGACTACTGCGGGCCATGTAAGTGTACACCGCTGCTGGTTGTTCTCGTTCTGGCCCGCAGTAGTCAACCTCGCGCTGGTGCCACATTTTTTTTTTTCTTTTCCAGCTGGGTGAGGTTGAGTACTGCGTGCCATGTCAGTGTGTACCGATGCTGGTTGTTGTCCCAACGGCCCGCAGTAGCCAACCGCCCTCTAACGCAGTGTATGTCTGCCTGAGAGAGAGAGAGGTTGACTACTGCGGGCCATGTAAGTGCACACCGCTGCTTGTTGTTCTCGTTCTGGCCCGCAGTAGTCAACCTCTACCTCTCTCTCTCTCTCTCTCTCTGTCTCTCTGGTGAGGGGGCCACGTCGCTGCTAGGGCTTCTCATAAATGTATGTGATGTGTCATGCAATAGACGGAGCCTGCGATTCAATCGAATGTCAACGGCGTGGAGACATGCGCGATGGAGACCCAGGACATTGTCAAGGGTATCGCAGTTGTCAGCAACGAAGGGATATCGGCTGGAGCAAACACCACAGACTGTGCAGTGGTCCTTGCGGCAATTTGTGAGCAGACTGCAAACATGATGACGGATGGTGAGGCCAGTGAGAATGATGCAGGGTGTGTTGTTGCAGACGAGAATGTGGTCAGGACGTCAGTAGGAACTCTCTTCCCCTATGACATCAATTGGGTGCCTGGTCGTCTTCAACCGGGTATCGTTGGAGGAGCGCCGTGCTTCGCGTTCAAAGTCAATGGGGAATGGGTTCCATATCACGCCCCCAAAGCGACGTCGTGGAGGGGCGTGACTCTGTCAATCATCTTCGACAGAGTGCTGAGGTTGAACGATGAGGTGAGCGCTGACGACAAAT